TAAACATGAATATAGAGCTATCATTACTTTTACACAAAAGCTTAAGAAATAATGAAATATGTTCTGTCTTCTATACTATTAAATATTCTAGTCTTTAAACAATGGCATAAATATAAAATGTGTTCATTATTACCTAGTTCGGTATTCGTGAAAATGTCACTCTGGCTACTTTGTTATTTTTTGGTTCTGAAGTCACAAAATGAATGCTGATCTGTGATCAGACATTACCAAGTGTGTATCTTTGGATTTAAAAATTTTTATCTGCAAAGCAGAGAAATCAGCACAAATCAAATATCTTACAATGTCTTGCTGAGGCACCCAGAACTTAATAGTTCTTGCTATTATTATATTTTGAGAAAGCAAATTATGTTGTTTTGAAGTTCATTGTTACAGAATAGATTATAGAATAATATTACTCATATAAGAAGTATAATCTGCAATTAAGGTTTTGGGTTTTAAATGTAGTAAGTTAAATGTATTCTTTAAAAGTATAGCTTGCTTTCATTTTTATGTTTTTAGCCCAAAAGCATACATAAATCCAATCTTGCCAAATCCATTATTATCATAGCATTATCAACATTGGAATGTTTTAGACAAATTATGTTACAAAGTTGCTTTAATTATCTTTTCACCGCTACTATCCCTTAGGGAGGGTTCCTCTCCCAACGTGAATAAATCTATCTTTTGCAAATTAAAGCAATATAAAACCCAAGTAGAAGTATTAGCATTAAACATAGTTGTTACTATTGTGTTTACAAAACCTATAATAGTTAGAGCCCATACATAATATAATTGTTGGACAAATTGCCTGATTTCAAAATTATGAATATTTCATTGTTAGTTTTTCCCTTAACTTACTCTGAAGAATTCTTTTGTTGACCCTGAATCCAATGTTCCATAGGCAATTTCTGTTTGTTTGGCCAGGTCTTCTGCACTCTCTATTGGGGAGACCATTCGCTCAACCGTCAGGAAAGCAGCGAGGTTAGCAGTATAAGATGATATAATGATGAGTGTAAAGAACCACCACACACCTCCAACAATTCGACCTGAGAGGGATCTAAACACGGATAAGATAATGCACATTTTCCTTTCTCTAACCAACATAAAAGAAGAAAAGAAATATAATTCACAATGCATTTTTGAAATAACAATTGCAAGTATTATTTTATTTTCTGATTGTCTATTCAAGAGTTATTCTAGTATTGCTGTATAATCTGACATCTTTTATGCTACATTTCACATGTAAATGTCTCTAGCATTTCCTTTTTATTGTTTAAAGGAAATGGTAAGAATGTGGAACTTGATGCCTTTCCTTCAGACAGAGAAGAATAATACTTACTTAAATTCATTAATACTCTCCCTCCCTTGTATTTTCACATCTCTGAAATTAGGATGCAGCCTATGGTTGATGAGATAAAATGCAACATCATGGTTTAATTGGCAGCATTGCTTCTCTTTTAGTGGTACGAAAATAGCAATACATCTGAACAATAGGTGGGGTCTTAGATTTGACAGAAGTTGGTAGTTACCATTCTGAGACGAAAGGAGAGAACTTCCCCAGGATGGGTGGGGTATGGGCCAAGGTGAGGCTGGACCAGACCAGGGTCTAGCATTGGTCTCAAAGTGACCATAGTTGAAGATTTTTTTTTGTTGTTTGATACTCCATTTCTGAATTGAGTGGAGGATAAGCCATGTCCCAAACATCTTTACATACTGCTAAAAAAATTTTCTCTCTTCACCCTTTCTTAGCTATCAACAATGTGTGGGTAAGTGTGGGTGCAAAAGAAAAGCAAGAATAGGATGAATAAAAAAACACAGGGAATATTAATAACTGGTCTCACTCATTGTGACAATCAGACTATTTAAAATTTTTGTTGCAAATTGTTTTAAAACTTTTTTTTTAAAGTTTGAAGAATAATTTTATATTTTCCATGGCATTTACAACTTTAAAATGCCCCCTTATTACTTGTTATTATAAAAGTAACACTTATTGGTTTTAACTCAATATTTCTTAATCCTGACATTTAAAAACCATTACTTGATTTGATGTGGTTTCTTCTCATTTCATTAATTGAAAGTTATTGACTCAGATTCCTCTGTTATTGGAATTTAAGCACATTTATAATTTTAGTGGATTTTAGGAAACACAAACTGCACTGTGGCCAAAATGCCTCTTTTTGAGAAAGCACACGTTTCTAAAAAGATAAAAATACGTATATTTGTGATGCTAATATATAGTCAATAATTAAATTTAACACTTTGCTTTTCATACCTTCAGCTACTTTCTCTATGAGAGAAATCAGGCATTTTTCTTGCAAAAGAAGATAGTAACTGACTTATGTCTTAGTGGTATTCAAAGGAAGGGAGCCATGACTCCACAGATGTTGAAAAACATTTCCACAAAGCTAACATAATGTTTGCATTGTTGGCTCTTGGCCCACTGCTTAGCTTATTTATGCATTGTTATGTAAGATAATTTATATCTGGTACCTACTGCATTGACTCAGGTTTCAGGTAACTCCATGACAGAAATCTCCCTTATAAGCTACACGGAATGAAAATCAAGTCCAAGATTAATTTTTGAAAATGAGCAACAACAGTAATAATAGCAAAAAATTTTTTTGGAAAAGGAGACAAAATCAAAATGAATACCTATTCTACAATTTAGATTTTAGTTTCCATTTATCAAAACACTGGATAAAATATTAACCCTAAATGATTTTCTTCTGAGCACTTTTAAAAAATGTATTTTATCGTGGCAAGAACACTTAATTTGACACTTATCCTCTTAACAAATTTTTAAGTATACAACAAAGTATTATTAACTATAGGTACAGTGTTGTACAGAAGATCTCTAGAACTTATTCATTTTGCTTAACTGAAACATTATGACCGTCGATGAGCAAAGAAAATGGGGTATGCACGTATAATGGAATACTATTCAGTCTTAAAAATGAAGGAAATTCTGTTAATATGCAACAATATGGATGAATCCAGAGCACATTAGGTTAAGTGAAATCAGCTAGTCACAGAGTGACAAATATCGCATGATTCCATTTACACGAGGTATCTAAAACAGTCAAATACAGACTATTTAGTGGTTGGTAGGAGATGAGGGGAGGGGGAAATGGGGAGGAGATACCAATTATTGCAATCTAGAAATTGCACAGGACTCAGAGGCACACATGGAACTCAGCCGTCCTGAACTTTAAGCACAGCAAATATCATTTCACTCTCAAATGACTCAAAGTTTGATAAAAATGCTCTTTTCTCTCTCATGGACTAACGAAATGATTTTTGAGAGTTCTGATGGGTTGCACAGTTTCTTTTCTATTGAGAAAGTTAATCTTTATGATGTATCTGCATTTTGTGTTGACTTGGAAGAAATTGGCTATGAATATACTTAGGTTAATTTGGGAATTGCAAGTTTTTTTCTGTGTTTCAAATAGTGCCCAGTCTCCAGGAACATAACATGTAGAGAAATAATCTGCACAACATTTAGAATTACTAAAATTTAGGAAATCAGTGAAGAACTTAAGAGGTTTGAAACTAACCTGGGTGAAATGTCACATCCTTGCTGCATAAAAGCACCCAGGGAAAACCAGAGGCTGTTAAAGATGCCAAACTCGTTGGGAGGCTGATCGCTGGGTCCTTCCTTTCCATCTTCCGGCTCTTCTGTGTGCCACTCGTACGGACTAAACCTACTAACTAGGAATAAGACCACGCTGACACCAATGTAGGCAAAGACTATGCACATCCAAATCTCATAGGCCAGAGGATCCAAGAAGGAAAACACTCCTGGTTTAGATTTCTGAGGCTTTTTGATCATGATAGATATGCCCAAACTCATGAAGGGCTTAGAGAAGTCAATGACCTCCTCTCGTACCAAAGTGATTGTCAGAGGGGCAATAGCAATCTCTGCTTTCTATAAGAGAAAAGACACATGGAAACATATAGGTTAATGAATTTCATGAAGTAATTAGCACTGGAGTGACTCATTTAAAGCTGACCAGTCATGCATTTATTCTAGATTTTTTTGGAGTGTCAACAAGGAATAATTCTAGTAATAGATACAAAGATGAATAGCAATTTGTTTTCATATTATTTGTATTGCACAAAACATTTTTATTGATGCTAGCAATTAAATAAAAGGATGAGAAACAGAGAAAGAGTGGATAAACAAAGATGACTTGAACTCAAATTATTGTATTAGTCTTTAAAGTTCTGGGACAGTGCAGAGGAAGAGACTTAATAGTCTTTCCATATGGATGAGTTTCTGAATTTCTTGGCCAGGAATGTTGCTATGTTGCAGCCTTTTTTGTTTTATTTGGAAGGTTGCCAATGATTCATTGCTTGGCCATCACTTATGATATTATGAATTGCAAATTTCAAACCATCTTTTCTTTTTTATTCCTTTCTGGCTATGAGAAAACCAATCACAAAGTCTGTGTTTGTATGATAAAAGAAAACCCGTTCTTTGACAACATTTTCCAATTCAGAACACACACAAAAATCTGGAAATTGCCATTGGTTGCTATGTTGCAGCCTTTTTTGTTTTATTTGGAAAGTTGCCAATGATTCATTGCTTGGCTATCACTTATGATATTATGAATTGCAAATTTCAA